GCGTAGCTTACAGATCGATGATATCTGATCGTTCTTACAGACTACAATCACAAAAGCTTTTACATATAACGCTGGAAAAAACGGCATGTCTCATTAGCGTAGCGTAGCTTAGCTTACAGATCTGATCGTTCTTACAGACTACAATCACAAAAGCTTTTACATATAACGCTGGAAAAAACGGCACTTACCTACAGAAGATTACGTTTGTTATTATAACTTACTCAATATGATTTTAGAGGATACAAAATACTAATAAATAGGTGAATAAATACTTGTGTTATCGGCTAGGGCGTGGCTTTACAGCCTTCACACAGATCGCCATTATGGCAGTATGTCTGAACATGTTAGCAAATGCCTGATAATTAAAATAAAAGACAAAGCAAAGACTGCGGAGCGTACAAAATAAAATAAAATGTTATTACTATTTGGGTTTGAGGCGACATTGATACGGCGAAGCTACATGCTAGAGATAGCTTTATCAGGAAAAACACCGCTAAATAAAAACGTACAGCTTCAAAATTGGATGTGTCCTCACTGGCTTGATCCCGGGTTTAGCATTAGTTTGGAGGCATATCCGTGTTGGACTTGAGACAAGTTCATAAACATGTCCGTGGTAAAATGTTTGGAACACACAAACAGAACGGACGGGTGGCGCAGTGGTCTGTGCATCCGATCATCAGATCAAGGGGGAGTGCTCGGGAACTCCAGTTCGAAACCCGCTCCTGCCGCCACTGCGTCAGGCCGTTGTGTCCTTGGGCAAGACACTTCACCCGGATTTGCTCCTGTGGGTATTGTCCACAGTACATGTATAATACTAATGTGTACTTGTAAAAGCGCCTCAATGACCTCGAGGCGTGAAGATGGACGGTGTGGCGCAGTGCGCTGTGCAATGATCATCAGATCAAGGGGTGAAACCCGCCGCTGCTGCGTCTGTAAAGCCGGTATGTCCTTGGGCAAGACACTTCACCTGAACTTGCTCCTGTGGGTATTGTCCACAGTATCTGACCATTGCATGTACATTGTATGTGTAATGTGTGTATATGTAAAGCGCTTTGAGTCATTGAAAAAGCGCTATAATAAATGTAAGGAATTATTATTAATTATTAGAAATCTGCCGGGGCACTCTCTTCTGGCACATGTCCCTTGAAAATGAAGTCTAGACACAGATTATTTTCTTTTTCCACTGATGGCATTGCATGCAGTCCCCTGTCCCGAGTGGCCCATGGTAGTGGTGGGGTTATGGTATGGGCAGGCGTATGTTATGGACGATGAACACAGGCCACTCGATTCACAACATTACCCTAACCCTAACCCTACCCCTACCACTCACACCAGATACTGACTGGTTTTCGGACCCCCCCAGACCCCCCCAATAAAGCAAAACTGCACGTTTCAGAGTGGCCTTTTATTGTGGCCAGCCTAAGGCACACCTGTGCAATAATCATGCTGTCTAATCAGCATCTTGATATGCCACACCTGTGAGGTGGGATGGATTATCTCGGCAAAGGAGAAGTGCTCACTATCACAGATCTTTTCAGATTTGTGAACAATATTTGAGAGAAATGGTTATTTTGTGTATATAGAAAATGTTTTAGATCTTTGAGTTCATCTCATGAAAAATGGTGTTGCATTTATATTTTTGTTCAATGTAGCACCATCACTGCGACAATGAAAGTGGTGAATGACATTACGAGTATTTTAGATAATAAGCAGAGTTGTGCAGCTCTATTTATTGACCTTTCCAAAGCGTTTGACACCGTTGATCATCACATTTTGAAGCAGAGGCTACTCAGTATTGGCATATCCAGCCATGCAGTGGGGTGGTTTGTGAACTACTTCTCTGAAAGGTCCCAATGTGTTCATTTTTGATGGGCTGTCTTCTGAGTGATTAAACATTGGTAATGGTGTTCCTCAAGGTTCTGTTTTAGGTCCACTTTTATTCTCCATATATATTACAGTTTAGGTGAAGATGTGAATGAAGCTACTTTACATTTTTATGCGGATGATACCGTTATGTACTGTGCAGGTCCCTCCATTCAGGAGGCTGGTGTTAAATTACAGGCTGTTTTTAACATTATTCAGACTCAGCTCGCTGAACTTAAGCTTCTTTTAAATGTTGATAAAACCAAGGTAATGCTCTTTTCTAAAGCTAAAAAGACTACAGACGCTGTTTTGGATATTGTTACTATGCAAGGACAAGTACTCAAAGTGGTTACCAGTTATAAATACCTTGGTATCTGGCTTGATGATTGTCTTACTTTTAAACTTCAGGTTATTAATCTGCTTAAAAAGCTGAGGGTTAGGCTAGGTTTCTTTTTCAGAAACAAGTCCTGTTTCTCGTTTGAAGCCAGGAAAAGGCTCTGTGACCTTTTTACCTGTGCTGGACTATGGTGATTTGATCTATATGAATGCACCTGCCCATTGCCTGGAAAAGTTAGATGCCGCCTATCACAGTGCCCTGAGATTTGTTACTAACTGTAAAGCACTTACTCATCACTGTACCCTATATGCCAAGGCAGGTCTGCCTTCACTAACTGTACGGAGGCTCAGTCATTGGTACATGTTCATTTACAAAGCCATGTTGGGTAAACTACCTTTTTATATCTGCTCTCTGATCTCTCGACGAATTGAAAGTACTTATTGCCTGAGATCTCATGATGTTGTTTTATTAAATGTGCCAAGTGCTAGGACTGTCTTAGGGAAGAAAGCTTTTAGTTGTGCAGCTCCACTAAATTGGAACAGTCTGCAAACATGTTTAAAACTGAGCACTTTGGTTCCCCTGCATCATTTTAAAACTCAGCTGGGTGACATGCTGTTTGATACTCATGGTACCTGTCTCTGTAAATAGAGTTTGTAAACTGTACCCTGTACATTATGTTGTATGTCATCCTTATTGTTGTTCTGTTGTTTTTATGTTACATGTGTAACTAATGCCCTGCAGGTCACCCTTGAAAATAGATCTTTTGATCTCAAGGGGCTTTCACCTGGTTAAATAAAGGCTACAAACAAACATTGCAAATGAATGGTGAAAAAAACGTAGGGATCTTACAATTTCAGAGGCGTTTTTGAAGAAATACTACGTCCTACGTTGTGGACCAACGTAGTTATTACACGTTTAGATGTGAGACACAAGACTCAATACTTACATATATGTTCACTTGTAGTATTATAATATTTGCAATGCAGGTTCTTCTGGGGGTCTTCTGTCCATGCTCAGCTACCGCAGCTGTACAATCGTCGGAGGACTGGGCTGTCACTCAAAAACTGAGTAGCCAATGGAAAGTCCCGCCCACCTGAGATGTTTGTGTCAGACATAGTTTACATGATTACACAAATGATTTGTTTGCAATTTATAGTTTCATTTTGAAATTAAATTTATTTAGCTTTTCTTCTCTTAAACTCTTAGTTTTGCTTGATTCTGAGAAAGTGTTGCTTTATCTTAATGACACAAAACTAATTCCATATTATTTGGATTTGGTGTCACAGATACTTCTACTCCACTACATTTTGGAGGAAAATATTGTACTTTTCGATGTATAGAACACTAGTAGTAACACACTAGTTTTTACAGACTATGCTTATATGATGCAGTATTACTAATATACAAAGTATTAAAAAAAGCATCTACAATTGGCTCCACTTGGAAAAACTACATGTTCAAAATGCTTTGTATTTATTGGTGATAAAAAAAAAAAATTAGTACTTTATAATGATGTAATACTTTGAAAAGAGCCATTCTGCACATTGATTATATACTTTTGATACTTGAAGTACATTTAACTGATAAAACTTCTGTTCTTCTATTTGAGTTACAAATAGAAGAACATATTTTAAATGATTTCACCTCCAAATGACAGTCTTGTAACCAAATGAAAGTGGCCATATTATGCTCATGTTCAGGTTCATATTTGTACATTACATTACTGTCACTTAGACACTTTTATCCAAAGCAGTTACTTCACACTTCTTTGAGTTGTTTAAATACTGTGAGAAGCCCCCACAGGAGCAATTTGGGGGGTCTTGCCCAGTGACACAACATGATGACTGCAGTGGAGATTGAACCAGTGCTCCTCTGATCCGAAGAACTCACTAGCCCACTGAGCCAAAGCCTCCCTTTGTATTCTGTCCCTCTACTGTGACATGTCTCCATGCAGTGGCGTAACTATCGCCGGTGCAGCCGGTGCAACGCATTGACCGGTTCACGCAGTCTTCACAGTAACCAAGCAACCTAAATTAATTTGTAATTTGCCTGTCCAATGACCTTGCTCCCTTTCATGTCATGTGATACATACCTTGTGTGACGAGCAAACCGTGTAATCCACCTGTACTGTACTGTAGCTAGCAGCAGCAAGTTTGGCAGCATTATACAAAATGTAATAGCTTGCATTTATAATGTACAGCAAACCAAAGCACAAGAGTGGCGCTCAAAAGAGAAAGGACAAGAGAGAGTGTATGTCCGTGCGTATGTGAGCGCATCAGCATGTGCTTATGTTTGGGGCGACGGGGGGGGGGGCCCAAAACAATATTTGCTTTAATGTTCAAAAAGCTCTTTATTTTGCTCATACTGCCTGTGCTGCAGCACCTCTTTTCACCCTCTGTCTGAAACCAGAGCCCAGTCTGCTCTGATTGGTTAACACATACAATGTGTTGGAGGACTAGCCAATAGTAGTGCAAGTGTTAAATAGTGATGTCACTATGTTATGGAAGTAAACAAAGGAGTCCAATCGAGGCGTTTGAGCCAGGGGGGGGGGGGGGAGTGTGTGGGAGAGAAACTCCCTCAGGAGGGAACAGACCATTTACATGCACAAAAACCTATAGAACACACTACAGGAAAGGGAGAACCCCAAAAAGCAGAATAGGTTATCTTAAAGTCACCTCCAAAACAAGGCTTAGAACAGTTTATTTTATTTTAACTGAATAATATTGTATCATTATCAGAAACTCTTTTTTTCTTTTTTATTAAAGCATTCTATTCTGGGGAACAGTAACCATGCAAAAACTGGAATTCAGTAGTTTATTGGAAGATAATTGTCCTGCAGTCCTCCTGTCTGCAGCCTGTTTTCAGCCCTCTTCCCGTGTCCAGTACGTACAATCATGCTACAAGATGTACTGCATTTGGTGCTATCCAATCGAAAAATGACAATAAAAAAAGACATCCACAACATATTAAACCATGATCCAGCCCAGTAGCCCTCGACAATGTGTTTTTTTTATGATTCACAATAACTGCAAAACAACAAGGCTCTGATAGAACAAGTATTATTAATACTTAATGCCTTTTTCTTCAAAGTATAGATATTTACAGGCTCAATACTCCCTTCAGAAGATTATAAAAACCACTATGGGGCATTTATGTTCAAAATGTAATGCAGCGTCCCTCATTTCAAGGTAACTTGAGATTAAAACCACTAACGAAGCCCATTACAAACTACGATGGATTCTGATCATTTCTGAAAATGTAATTTCAGGGGTTTTATTCTTTTACATATCTCCAAGATGTTACATGATACAGAATGGAACAATGCACAAATATTTTGAAGACGCAGAAAACCTTATTTTTCCTCCACATAAGACAAAACGTGGCACAGGAATTATGGCAACGTCACATCAGAAGTCGGTCAGGTGGAGAGATACAGTCCTCATTCTGAACTTGCATTATTTGTAATGTCCGCTTTGTAAAGAAACGTATTTTTTCACAAGCCTTGCATCAATGAGAGGTCTCCTCTGTCACTTCTTGAGATGCCTGCTGTGCCTTGGCAGAGGCAGATCTCAGGGGCCGATCTCAGGGGCCTCTTAACGGCCCCTGGGGTCAGGGGTCCCGGGGGATTGGCCCCTACTGCTTCATGGTGTTCTTGATGAGCCACCTCTGTCCGGAGCAGGGCCCCAGCACCAGGCGGCTGCTGGCCACCTCCAGACAGCGCCCTGACGCTCGGTTTATGATGGTGTCATTCTGTGGTGGAGGAGAAGGAGGACATTCATCAGTGTACCATGTGACTGAGAAAGAAAGTGACCCCATCCATGCCTCATTTTATTTCCTCAGCTAATGTATCAAATTACATTTTTTGAATAGTTTGAAATTAATATTATGTCATGTTTTATACGACATACTATTGTGAGATAAAACATAATATACTATGACTATTTAAATGAAATGTGTATGTGTATACTATGCTATTATTTTTGTGATTACATTTCTTATCTGCATTATATTTTTTATTGCACTAACATTTCTGAATGACATTTACCGAATACGATCACACTTTATCAAAGCATTACATTTTAAAGGCATACCCTACGATACAACTTATATTTATTCCTACCTACCATGTACAGTATACAAACTTTCTAATGAATTAAAGTCATGCTATTGTTTTTTTATATTGTACTGTATTTTATGTTTTATTTTGTATTTGACATTCACTTTGTTCCTTTGGATTGTCTAGGTTGTAATTTTATTCCGTTGTTTTCTTCTTTTTTCCCACACTGTCCTTCATGTTTGTATAAACTGTAAAGGCCAAGACAAATGTACTTCATGATATTAGGCGATTTAAAAAAAGACATTTGATTTATAATATAACATAATAATCTCCTGCCACCAATCTTGATCTAGTCATACGTCTGAGAGGACCGCTCTATATTTATGAACGCTCTAGTATGCTTTTAGGTCGTTCTGTTGTACATTGAGAACAAATGCAGTTTACCCAGACTGACTGTGTAAAAAGCAGTAAGAGACAAAGATCCTTTGAGCAACAGTTCAAAAAGAAAGGAAGAAGACAGCAGTCATTGGTAAAATACTATGCAGGTAAATGTAGCTTAGAATCAAATGTGTAGATTTAAATAAGAACAGCTTCCTGTTTTAGTGTGAGGTGCACACTAATGTCTCTTACAAGCTGAATCAACGGTAACATGTGGCTTTAGCGAATCTATTCACAGTAGAAACAGAAAGGTAGTCTAGGGTTAGCACTTCTGGAATATCAACTAAATATACTAAGGAGAGTTAAAACTTCAAAGAAAAAGCAGCTTCCCTAAATAGCCTAATTTCACAGTTATGGTTCAAAAACTATCGATACATTTTCTTGACAAAAACAGTATTCAATGTAATTCACATATTTCTTAATTTTACAGTTTTTTTTTAAGGAAAACAAATGAACATGAGAGCTGATTTATTACCAACTGTCAACAACATGACCACAATAACATTTCATCTTATTCCATCCATCCATCTTCTCCAGCAGAGAGCCCCAAACTTTCCTTTCCCTGGCCACATCAACCAGCTCTGACTGGGGGATCCCAAGGCGCTCCCAGGCCAGCGAAGAGATATAATCCCTCCACCTGGTCCTAGGTCTACCCCTTGGTCTCTTCCCAGCTGGACGTGCCTGGAACACCTCCCTAGGGAGGCGCCCAGGTGGCATCCTAACTAGGTGCCCGAACCACCTCAACTGGCTCCTTTCGACGCGAAGGAGGAGCGGCTCAACTCCGAGTCCCTCCCGGATGACCGAACTTCTCACCTTATCCCTAAGGGAGACACCAGCCACCCTGCGGAGAAAACCCATCTCGGCCGCTTGTATCCGCGATCTCGTTCTTTCGGTCATGACCCATCCTTCATGACCATAGGTGAGGGTAGGAACGAAAATGGCCCGGTAGACAGAGAGCTTTGCCTTCTGGCTCAGCTCCCTTTTCGTCACAACGGTGCGGTAAAGCGACTGCAGTACCGCTCCCGCTGCTCCGATTCTCCGGCCCATCTCACGCTCCATTGTTCCCTCACTCGAGAACAAGACCCCGAGATACTTGAACTCCTTCACTTGGGGTAAGGACTCATTCCCTACTTAGAGTGGACAGTCCATCGGTTTCCTGCTGAGAACCATGGCCTCAGATTTGGAGGTGCTGATCCTCATCCCAGCCGCTTCACAATCTGTTGCAAACCGATCCAGTGAGTGCTGAAGGTCGCAGACCGATGAAGCCATTAGAACCACATCATCTGCAAAAAGCAGTGGTGCAATCCTTAGTCCACCGAACTGCAGACCCCCTCCCCCATGACTACGCCTTGAAATCCGATCCATTACAAACAGGATTGGTGACAAAGCGCAGCCCTGGCGGAGGCCAACCCTCACCGGAAATGGGTCCGACTTACTGCAGAGGACCCGGACACAGCTCTCGCTTAGGGAGTACAGAGATTGGATGGCCCTGAGTAGAGACCCCCTCACCCCATACTCCCGCAGCACCTCCCACAGTAACTCCCTGGGAACTCGGTCATACGCCTTCTCCAAGTCTACAAAACACATGTAGACCGGATAAGCGTACTCCCTAGGCCCCCTCCAGGATCCTTGCGAGAGTAAAAAGCTGATCCGTCGTTCCACGACCAGGACGGAATCCGCATTGTTCCTCCTCAATCTGAGGTTCGACAATCGGCCTGACCCTCCTTTCGAGTACCTTAGAGTAAACTTTCCCGGGGAGGCTGAGTAGTGTGATGCCTCTGTAATTGGCACACACCCTCTGATCCCCCTTTTTAAAAAGGGGGGACCACCACCCCAGTCTGCCACTCCTTCGGTACTGTTTCCGACTTCCACGCAACGTTGATGAGACGAGTCAACCATGACAGTCCCTCAACACCCAGAGCCTTCAGCATTTCTGGGCGGATCTCATCCACCCCCAGGGCTTTGCCACTGTGGAGTTTCATCTTATTTCATACATCAAAAACAGCTGTGTATTTTCTCTACAGTGCAACTTTTTGAGCACAAATCACTGAAATGTAACTTTTTGGAGAACAATCTGTTGTTTCATTATTTCCTCTCCCCCTCACCTGAGAGAAGTGCCAGGTCTTCTGCCTGACGTTGGTCACCTTGTCACAGTTGAGCAGCTGAGGCAGACTGCTGGTCTGGTCATCCACCACGCAGCGGGTCTCGTCCCCCGTGCTGCCCAGGGGCCCCAGGAACAGCTGGCCCTCCCTGGTGAACCGCCCTATCTGAGGGGACACACAATTATGGTAAAGTAAAAATAAAATATAAAAAATGTAAAAGGACACAACAAGTTAAAGTAAAATGTCCAATAAAAGATACAATTATATTTACAGAATTTATTTTTATGTTAAATTAAAAAAATTCAAGTAAGAATATGCAAAACTAAATAAACATAATTAAAGAAACAAGTTAAAGCAAGATGCACAATAAAAGATTAAGCGCATTGAAATTGAATACAAATATGAAATGTAAAGTAAAAATGTGCTAATAAGGATAAAACAAATAAACATAAATGTATATAGACTAGCATGTTAGAGTAAAACGTCAAAGATGAATCAAATATCATTTAAATATGTATATAAGCGTAAGTACTGTAAAAGTAAAAATGTGCAATCAAATACATTTTTTTAAAATGATATAAACGTATGTTGGAGTTGCACACTTTTAAGGGATTTTGGGTGTTTATCGGCTCTGTTCCTCCCCTCTCTCCCACTGCCGCACATGGGGTCTAATCGCCAAACACCATTACATTTATCTGTGCATTCTTGGTAATACATGTATTTTGGTAAATCAAAACATGTCCCTCCTGATTGAACTGTTACATTTGACATGTAACCTCATTATACTCTAGGGACCACTTTTTTCAGATGGAAAACTTGAAATTGGCTACTTAAGTGCGTCTTCAGGGTGATTGCTCTGCACTCGTTTACCACTGTGAGCTAAAAAGAGATGCCCCGCAGGCTGAAGCACTGACATTGGCTGACTTCAGCACAAAAAGTGCAACATGGGAACATTTTCTTCCTGACGGCAGAACTCTCTCCTAAGAGGATTCCATTGCAGCCTGTGTGACAGACACAGCTGTAAATCATGTCACTGTGTGGAAGACACTAATGAGTGGTGTAGATTTTGAAGAGGAAGCAGAGGAATAGTGAGAGGCACTCTGAGGCAATTAGGTCGAGGGTCCGGTGTTACCTGAGGCCCCGTGCCGTGGCAGGGGTGCAGGGTGGCCGTGTGGTTCTCCTTTATACCCTGATCCATACACAGGTGGCTGGCATTGGAGTTACGAATCTAAAATAAAAAGCATCTTTGAAAATCATGCTCAATAGAGTAATGGGCGAACAAGTCTTAACAACCGATAATGAGTCTGCATTTTACCACTTCCAACATGTGTAATTATCATAAACTAAATAAGTTGGTTTGCTACAGAGCTAATGTTCTGCAATATTCCCAAATCATTGCTTTTTGTTGAGGGTGCCCTTGTGATGCTAACTTCCTGTTTGGAGTACATCAATTTGTCATTACTGCAATTATTTGTTTAAATTCCTAATCAAAGTCAAAAGTCAACTTTATTATCAATCTTGTGTGTGAGGTACAGTATTAAGGTAACGTCAGTCAGAATTGTTTGTAGCCTTTATTTAACCAGGTGAAAGCCCCTTGAGATCAAAAGATCTATTTTTCAAGAGATCATCAGTAAGATAAAAACACCTGAATCCAAATGCAGATTAAACATTTAAAAACATTGTACAATGCTTTATAGTTTTAAAATGGCACAGCTCAGACAGCATGTAGGGACATAATCTATGAGGTGTTCTTTTAAATAGCCCTTAGGATGTATTTGTCTCATCTATCACTGACTCATCTGTTCTCGGTTGTTTCATCCAAGCTTCTCCTTCCTGTTTGTGCTGACTCACCTCTCCGTAGAACACTGTGTTGTTGTACCTCCTCATCTCTGGGTAAACATTGTCCAGGTACCACTCGAAGCTCTTACACTGCAGCCTCTTCCTGAGAGCCACCCTCTGAGAGATGTCTCCGTAATCAATACCGTGGTTCTGCAAGAGCACAGCAGTCATTATGGGATGTCTCTGCTTTACAGAGGACTTTTTCAGTTTACCACATGAACAGTTGTAATAATGATCCAGAACATTTAATAGAAATGTTGCTGTTGTCTACTGATTACTAGCACAATATTTTGATAAATCCGATTTCATTAGATTAGATAACAGATACTTAAATTGATCCCGGATTAAGATTTGTTCTTGTAACAGCAACATAAAAAATACATCATTACAAATGTAAAAGACAGTAAATATATGCTTATTAAGAATATAAAGATATATCTATAGAGCACACAATATAAAGGCACAATGTACAAATATAAACAATAAGTTGATCGTAAATTAACTAAGAAAATATGATATATCCATACATTATAAAGTGTGCGGTAGTTTAATTTATTGAAATGGGGTACATTTTGAGTACTACATCTACAAATTGTTCAGGATGATTAGAGGTTTAAAAAAAGTATTCAACCAATTCCCAGTTTATAACAAGTTGTAGCGAAGTCCTGCTTATGTTAAAATAAAAGATGAGCACAGTTAGCATTATCAGCCACCATGATTAGCTTCATCCACAGGCCCAGCAGCCCAGCAGCCCTCACCTCCATGGGGATGTTCCAGGCCAGGTACACGTTGGACTTGTACTCGTCCAACCAGACCTCGGCCACTCGCAGAGCGTTCCGCCGTGTGTGCAGAGCGATGTTACTGAGGTAGGGTTTCTTCATCCGGGCGATGTGAGCCACCCTGGAGCAAGGCAGCACCTCCATACTGCCTCCACACAGCCACACCTGCAGGGAGGGGGTGTTAGAGAACAGGGAAGTCAACTTAAAGCTAGCAGTTATATATGTTTGGCCACAAGGGGGCATACCATTTCAAAACAGGCTGACCTGATGAACTACTACAGTACATCTACAGTATATTACATGGACAGTGTTTACTTATAGAGGTTGGTAGGGTAGTCAATCTGTAGGGACTTGGCTTGGCAACTGAAGGGTCGCCGGTTCAAGTCCTGATCCGACTAAAATGCAGAGCCTTCTTGCTCTGACACCTCTCCACTAATGCATGTGTAAAGGTCCAGTTTGTTCATTTCCGTAATGCAATGTAAATAAAACCAGCGTAAAACATTACTTTATTTCTTCATATATTAGGACTGCCACTTATACCTGAACATAGCCATGTGGATATATTTATCCAGAATGATCTCCACTCATATCTGTGTGTATATCAATTCAGCTACTTGGTGTTTTACTGTTTCTTTTTTGTTGTTTATATTCTTAGTTTTACTAACATATTTACTTATATGTTCTTGTTATCCCTGCATGAACTCCTATCTGTAATGGCCTATGTTTCACTCTGAATCTGTTACTGCTATGACAATGAAATGTCCCCAAATGGATAAATAAAGACTAATTTTTCTTACACTGTTGGCGGGGCCCAGGATTTAAGATTTTCATTGCCAACAACTACTGTTGTAAATTCCCCTTGTTTTCCTTGATCTGCGTTATATCGTTCGTGTTTTAGTCAGGCACATTTAGGGACAGCTAAAGTAACGCAGCTACGGGTCCTCGAGCTGTTTACACCATAGATATATATATATATTTATATATATCTATGGTTAAACTTTACACCATAGGGTTTACACTTTACACATGTGCGTTCATCATGACAGGACATTATTGCGGTCGCATCATTACATGCATAATTACCATCGTCAAAGAGAGAATGCGTTCGTGAAGAATGTGAGCATATATGCAGATCTTTAGTGTTGGTAATGTTATAAGATTGTATGCATAGTGTCCTGCTGAGTCAGTTTGTTAATGAGTCTATTGATGTCCCGTTTTTAGCTGCTATGTTATTCATAAATGGAGCTAATGCTAGCTAGTTAGCTAAATTAAGCTATTCAGTGATAGTGTGTGGATGAGATACTAGCTTAGCCTTTATTAGCCATATGTGTGTGTTTGCAACGTGTCTAATGTGTTTAGCAACAATTAGTATCACTGTTGCTTATTATTAATAACCAGAGTCTGGTTAGTTATTGTAATGTGAACCTTATTTCTATTTCTGTGTATTTTGCAGAAACCATTTATTCATCAATCTCTACTCTACATTAATTCATCAATCTCTACTCTACATTCATTCATCTCTACTCTACATTCATTAATCTCTACTCTACATTCATTCATCTCTACTCTACATTCATTCATCTCTACTCTACATTCATTCATCTCTACTCTACATTCATCAATCTCTACTCTACATTCATTCATCAATCTCTACTCTCCATTCATTCATTCACTACTGCTACCAGGGCCGTATCCACTATTGAGGTCACCGAGGTCCGGACCTCGGTAATTTTTTCCGAGCTGTGTCTATAACAAAACTTGTGAAATAACGGCACTAAACGGGGTTCTTTGTAGTACTTCCATTTACTGCCGATGGGCGCGCTGCATAACTACGTAGCCTCGATTAAAGCAAACAGAAGAAGAAGACATGTATCAACAAACCTCCACAGCCCGGACTTGTACCGGAGCAGCGGAGGAGTGATGAAGTATCTAGAGATCTGAGTCCAGCGGCTGCTTGTGTTTCTGTTCATCAGGACATCATATGACCAGCAGATCCTGTGTGAATGCTCTACGTTAGTCAGTGGACGTCCGACAACATGCACACTAACTTATATTGCAGCTATAGGCTATACTTTGGTTTACATTGCGTGAATAAACTAGCTAGAGAGCTACAGTTAATACATTTATCCAATGTCAGAAGGATTACCTTTTAACAAACGTTGTAATGCTTTTCTTTCATTTCAATTTGAGTAAAACATTGAAGATACAACATTGTATTCTTTTTACACTGACTCAGATATAATGAAAAGACTACGTCAGTCGAAGCTCAGCGTTGGTAAGGAAGAGACAGGACAGGCAGAGAGAGAGAGAGAGAGAGAGAGAGAGAGAGATAAAGTGATGGAAGTCAGGGAGGAACTGCAGGTACAGTCACACAAAATAATGTAGGCTTAATAATAACCCCATCTATCCATCTATCTATTTATCTATGACAATAGTCTTCATTTACAATAGGCATTCTTTTAAAACAACATATATCTATTGCAGTTATGATGTCGTAATAACACACAATTGTATAAAACACAATTTGCTTACATCTTTGTTCTCTTTAGAGAATCAAACAAAACAGATTTAAATTTAAAAAATAATGCAAACAAACAAGTGAAATGAACTAAATGGCTGAATTGCTTTTAATTCACTGGCAGGAGCGACAAGTGAGGAGGAGCAAAAAGTGAACAACGAGGGAGAGATTGAACAAAGAGAAAGAGTAGAAGAGAGAGAGAGTAAAGAACAGGAAGAAGACAGAGAGACTAAAGGAGATGGAAGAGAGGCTGCAGGTTATGGAAAGGAGAGAGACATGGAAAATGAATGTTGACAATGTGTTGTGATCATTTTAGCCTCTTCTGCATGTCCAGATCATTAATAGTAACAATCAACTGATTCTTATGTATTACATTTTCAAAAATAATGTATGCTGCAGCCCACTGACATGGTTTGAAATCAATATATTATCCGATTTGTGACCCCCCTCAGGACTTAAAAAGCACCTAACTAGATCATGAAAATCACAAAATCTCAGGGGGGGTATACCCCCGAACCCCCCTAGCATGTTTGGACCTCAGTATTTAGGAAATCCTGGATACGGCCCTGACTGCTACAGCTGTTGTAAGAACCAAGCTAATATAAAGTCCAACGACTGTACTTCCTGTCTCCGTGTCAACTCTCTAACCGGAGTGCTGTTTTGGATGAAGCGGCTCCAGCACAAACATCACAACACATACGATTCCCCAATAACTACTGTTGAGATCTTCATATGAAGTGAATACTTAAAACGAAAGTTAATTGAGATCATGGTATGAAGTGAATACTTAAAAAACGAAAGTTAATTATAAATCATACATGATCAATCATATTCTTGTATAAACCCATAATGAGAATGCTTCTTGACGGTTTTTGAATATGTATCTATGCTTACAATTTTTTCTGTTGCTATTTGAGAACTTTGCGTTTTGAAAAGAGGGTGTTGTGAGTTTTCATAGTATGTTTAATACTTAAAAACGAAAGTTAGTTATAATCAAATATAATCAATTATATTCTTGTATAACCCACAATGAAAATGCTTCATATTTTAGGTTTTTCTATAGTTACAGTATAAACAAAACAAAGTGGGTTGTTTGGGTTGAGTTTTCTTCCTCTCCTCTGGCAGCAGTCCACATGGGAAGGGGGGGGGGGCTTCACACTAAGGAGACACATTAAGAGGCCAAAGAGAGTTCATGTCCTTTTTACCTCATATGAAAGGGTGTCTTATCCCATAACAGCTGTGGAACATGTTGGGACATGTTCAGCCTTGTACATTATGCGCATGCGCGGTTTTCAACTGAATTGGGTGTAAGAGGAGGAGTTTGTTTTTTTGGGTTTAGGATCCAGTTTTTTTAGCATAAAGAGACTGGTTTTTTGAGAGAGCGCGAGAGAGGGGGGGTGACCCCTGGTAGACTCTCTCCGGGTAGGCTGTGTGCTTCAGAGCTGGGTTAATAGCTCTCGGTAAGGTCTTTCTAGACGGGGTAAATATCTCTCGAATTTATTGGTTGTTGGCTGAGTGGAATGATTTGATGAGAGAAAGTGTGTGAACCTTTATAAATACCGCGACCTGTGGGGAAAAATCTGGTCCCCCGAATTTTGCGGACAGGAATGGGTTTTTGAGTGTTAATCCGCCGTCTGTGTCGGAAAAAGTGTATGAACCTTTATAAATCCCGCGACCTGTGGGGAAAATCTGGCCCCCCGAATTTTGCGGACAGGAATGGGTTTTTGAGTGTTAATCCGCCGTCTGTGTCGGAAAAAGTGTATGAAACTGATGTGAATAAATGGGTGAATGAAAAGTTGAATGCGCTTTTTATTGTCACCGGTCTTTTTACGAGGAAATACCTCTAAATTCTATCGGGAGAATTTTAAAATGTCACAACTGAAATGGGCAGTTGAAATTAAAACATTTTGGTAATAAATGTAAGACTGTGAATTAAAGTTTCATTTGAACATGATCACAGCACGGTTTTTTTTTGTTAGTATGATTATAATGTTGTGAGAGAAGGTAAAAACCCTGTATTAGTTTGGACCTATTTTTCTTCAAATAAACTGAATCCCACCTGTTGGATTGGGATCCTTTAAAAGACACAGTCTGTGCTCTCCTCTCCTGCGTCAAAGGTAAGATTGCACCCTGCCACACACACTTAGGTAGGAGCACACTCCATTTACTGATATCAAAATCCTTCGGGATCGCTTAAACAGATTAAAAAAGAGTTGTCTGAATTGAAACAGCAGTTAATTGAACCTGGTTCTTCGGGGGGTTAGGAAGAGGTGAGATCTTGCTGACTTAGGAGGTCAGAATAATTTACCGGAATAAATTATCAGGACCTCTCATACTCTAAACACTACACTGTAGCTTTTGTGTGAATCTTTAAATCCAAAACCTTATGTGTGTAACACTAACAGCATGCATGGAGCAGAGGTTGCGCTAGACTTTTTCGATGCCCGTCATTTTGACGGACAGGATCGTAAAACTTCCGTCAAATCCAGAATTACCCGTCGGCCTTTACACAACTCTGACGAGGGGGGGGGGGGGGGGGGAGAAGCATGCTCGTGAACTGTCAACGGGGGGGGGGGGGGGGGGGGGAGGGACAGTTCACATGCGCCGTGTTATGCATGGCTGCTGCACCTCGCGGGAGCGTGCACAG